ATAAGGGTTGGAGCAGTCAGGGCACAGGTGGTGGTAGGGTCCTAGGCGGCCAGTTAGGATTTGGGGGAGGGTCTCAGGAGGGGGCAGTCAGGGGACAAGAGGCAGGGAGGCTTAGGTAGGGGGTGAAGTCTTGGGGGGGCAGTTAGGGGCAGGGGTCCCAGGAGGGGGCAGTCAGGGGACAAGGAGCGGGGGGGAGGGTTGGGAGTTCTGAGGGGGGCGGGAAGTGGGTGGGGCAGGGGCGGGGCTAGGGCAGGACAGGGGCGGGGCTAGGGCGGGGCTCCTCCCGTCCTCTTTTTTGCTTGCTGAAATATGGTAACCCTACTCTATTTAGATTGAAATCTCCTCAGAGCAGAGAATGTTTCTTATCGTGTGTGTGAGTGTGTGTGTGTGTGCAGTGCCTAGTGCAATTGACCTCTGGGGTCAGCTGAGGCCCCTACATGCTACTTAATACAAATAATAATGAACGTTTGGCTACAAACACTCCAAAGTCCACAGGCAGTTTGATCTGATGCTTTAGTTCAGCGCACTGTAAAGCTGGGAGCCTTCTGTGAAATTTGGATTCTGGTTCGATTTCAAACATCCCATCGCCAAGTTCAGAATGTTGCATTCTGGGCTTTTAATTGGGGCCCCTCTCTAACAACACCCCCAAATTAAGGCTGAATTAGATTAAAAAACTCTGACTGGCTGAACCTATTCTGCAAACTACCTGTTGACTGAGCACTCCGAGTATGGTACAGTCGATAGAGCAGCAGCCCAAGGTTAAGCCCTAGGAACAGAGCTTTGGGGCTTTCGCTGTCCTAGGCAGACTAAAAACTCTGTGTCACCCAGAGTGCTTAGTCACCCCCATAATAAACCTGTCACAAGACATTTTCCTGCCTCAAGCAACCTCCCTTTCTGCTTGTTTGGCAGAACTGGCTCTGCCTGGAAGTTTGCATCATCTTCTGGCTATAGTGCACTCTCATATCTATATAAGACATATATAGGATTCCCTCATCTCTACAGTTACACCTACCTCCTCTCCATATAGTCTCTTGAGCTACTGTGCAGTGTTAAGTCTCTGCACTTGGGGCTCGATCCTGCAACATATGCTAAGCAACCTGTCCTGATCCACCAACACACTAAGTGTGGGCTTAATGTGCCCAAAGTCAATGGAGCTAGTCCCAGGACCGGCTCCAGGGTTTTGGCCACCCCAAGCAGCCAAACACCACAAAAAAAAAAAAGCCGCGATCCCAATCTGTGGCGGCAATTTGGCGGGAGGTCCTTCGCTCCGAGCAGGAGTGAGGGACCGTCTGCCGAATTGCCGCCGAACAGCTGGACGTGCCGCCCCTCTCCGAAGTGGCCGCTCCAAGCACCTGCTTGGTAAGCTGGTGCCTGGAGCCGGCCCTGGCTAGTCCCTACTTAGAAGTTCAGTGTGTCTCAAATGATTTGCTGGCTCGGAACAGAGTGAGCAGCCCTGTGCAAGATTGAGCCCTTAGAGAAGATGGCATGTGGAAAAAAGGCTGAAAACTATTGCTTTGAGGGTATTTCAAAACAAAACCAACATGATCATTGTTTTATCATCACTATTTGCCACGACCTTTTAGGAAGAAAATGTTCTGCAGTAAAATGTCTGCCTGAATTAGAGACTGGCGAGACAAGGTAATCTCTTTTATTGGACCAACTTCTGTTGAAGAGCCAACTTCTGTTGGTGATTAGAGCAGAGGCAACACATAACCGTTGTTTGGTGGGGGGGGAGGAATGTATTTTGAACCCACTCACTGCAAAAACAAAAAACAAAAAAACACCCCTGGCAGAAATGGGGGGGGGGGCCCTGGAGGGGCACATGACCCCATGGTCCATCCTCCCCATGCATCACCTCTGGATTAGAGAATGACAGATTGGTTTCAGTAACTCAGAATTCTAATTTTTCTATGTTTGTTGGGGGTATGGTGTAAATCCGGGGTCAGCAACCTTTGAGAAGTGGTGTGCCAAGTCTTCATTAATTTAAGGTTTCACGTGCCAGTAAAAGGTTTCACATGCCAGACCAGCAGCATGGGCAGCAGACAGAACCCCAGACCGGCAGTGGGCTGAGCGGCTCATCCCGCTGCCGGTCTGGGGTTCCATCTGCTGACCCCTGTCAGCCAGGGTCCCAGCCTCCGGCCCTGCTCAGTCTGCCGCCAGCCTGGGTTCCATCCATCCAGGCCGGCAGCGGGCTGAGCGGGGCCGGTGGCCGGGACCCCGGCTGGCAAGGGGCCAGCAACCGGAACTCCAAACCGGCTCATCCCGCTGCTGGTCTGGGGTTCCGTAATCCAGGCCGGCAGCGGGCTGAGCCAGGCTGGCGGCCGGGACCCCGGCTGGCAGCAGCATGCCACTAAAAATCAGCCTGCGTGCTGCCTTTGGCACACATGCCGCAGGTTGCCGACCCCTGGTGTAAATGATTCTGGACTAACACTTGCTCACAAATGAGCTAGACTAAAAAGACCACATGGGGCTGATGACTATCAGTGCTACAGGAGATGGTTCTCAAATGGCTTTAGAGGATTAGATCTGCTCTCTGAATTTATCTGACCTTCTTGGATCAGATTGTGCTGGCAGTCTCATGCCCAGAGGTTTTCCCCATCCCTAATCTTGCTGGCTGTGTTTTTATTTGTGTGCAGCTTTTCTGTTGGGATGCTGGAAGGTCCGTGCTGGAAGAGTTCATTCATTCAGACGTGTTCTATGACTTTCATTTGCTTAAACATATATCTCTATATGGGTAAAACTGTGCAAACATTTCTGGCTGTAAAATATTGGATTCTGCGGTGCCAACCTCCTCTGCTTAGGTAAGCAGAAGGGACCTAAAGCAACTACAGCTTCCCCTGGCCATATGGAAAGTGGGGGTGTCACCTCTGCAGCACCAGCCCTCACCAAAACCCCACTCTGCCAGGATGCCTCTCTGTGGGAGTCAGTGCTGCAGGGTTGTAGAGGAATATCAGGGGCAGGAGGGCATAAAACATATGGCCAGCTACTTTATCCAGCATCAACCCCTGCTCAGCCCAGGTATTTTGGCCCAAAAATCATCCTAAAATCTATTGTGTCCTGTCTGTCGCCGATGCTGGGCAGCCAGTGGGGGATGCAGTGAACAGCAGCAGGGTCAAACCTCTATGGCCAAGACCTGCCCTGCAGGGTAACAGGGGGCTGTTTCCCATACTGCCCTCTATATTTTGCAGAAGTGGATGTGATTGGGCTACACGTATGGTGCCGTATGTTGGGGCTGAAGCTTTTCTCCCTCAGTCATATGACACTAGAGCATATTTTCCTGTGTCTGGGGTTTATTCATCTGGGTTTTCTGCTCTCTCCCAGAAATTGGCTCTTACTTTCTGAAACACCCTGGACTGATTCTCTGAGATTCCACAAACAGAGACCGA